CTCTCAGGATTTATCCTGTAGTCCTGTACCACCTTTTGTACATCCTTTTGTCAGTGTCTGACATGAGGATGAGTCACGGCCATTGCTTGACCAATTTGCTCTCTGTGAAAGCCTGAAAAAATGTTTTTTTCTCTCTATGTGACTCTCCCCAGGCACACTATACATCATCACCTAATTATTTTTAAGAACACTAACCATTTAAATGTTCAGTGAAAACTTAATTTCATAGGAAAACTGGGGGCTGAAAGAACACCCATATAATATTCTACTTTTTTTGTCCCAGATGGAGAGGGAGGGGCTTACAGTGTCAAGGCTCACAGAAGGTCAGGCCCTTGCCCTAGGACACAGCTGGTCCTTGACAGGCAGCTCAAGAAGCTAGGAATACAAATGATAAATGACTAAAAGATTGTTCCAAAGACCCAGTTTCCCTCCCCTACCCCATTACCTTAGCAAGAACAGCCAGCTATGGGTCTTATTTAACCTAACACCCTTCTCTTTGGATCACTAGAGAAAAGGGAAATCCTTACCTGGAGCACCCAGCCAGCATTATCTTTTCTGAACATCTAAAGCTGCTACACATAAAACTCCTTGTGGAAAAATACACACCCACCTCTGACCACAGGCAGGAAGCAGAGACGGCACAGACATTGCATAGGTGCTTCTGGTTAAGTAGTGTAGGTTCAATTCTGGCTAAGGGGGGAAAAAGCTGTGACACCAGATCAAAGTGAACCTGAGCAGTCCACAAGTCAGAGAGCCCCCTACTTCATAATCGAGGAGGGGAGTTTTGCTGCCAGGAATTCCACTGGCCATTTCTTCAGTTCATGGTATAGCACCATCAGGAGGGTCACTGATGTAGGAATATGTTAATGCAACAAAGCATATTTTAGGGGCCAGAGAGATGACTCAGTGGAATAAGCGCTTCACTGGCAAGCGCAAGGGTCTGAGTTCAATCCCCGGTTCCGCAAAAAAAAAAAAAAAAAGCATATTTTAAGGCATGAAACTTGCTGGCTGGGGTGGTAGCTCAATGGTAGAGCACTTATCTAACATGTGCTGGGCCCTGGGTTCAATCCCCAGTGGCATAGCAAGAGCGTTTTTTAAAATTTTTAATCAGCAAAAATTGCATGCAACACATCTGTGTGCATGACACAAAACAAAAGCATCCAATCTGTGGGCCCTACCTGGAGGATCCTGAGTGGGTGAGAGCCCATGATGCTTTAGACACAAAGCAGAACACACTCAGACATCAGAGAGAGGCCCACTGACTGTCACCTATGCCAAGAGGTCGCTGTTTCTCAGACGGCAACCTCTTTGGTCAAAATAAGTTCCCTGAGCTGAATGCGTTTGAGGAAAGGCTCACTCAACAAACAGCTGAATTGTAAAGTTCCAAAAAAAATCTCATTTGGTCCGCTTCTAATTCTTATGAAGAAAACAAAGCTAGATGCTCATAACTACTCATCAAATCAATATGGGACCTAAGATTGAAATCAAAGACCTCCAAGGACCGGCCCTGTGACGTTTAGCATGGCCCTTCACAGCATGCTGGGGAATGAGGAAAGAATTGTGGTGACTTGGTAAACACCATTATTATAGGGCAAGTGGCCAGAGAATACACTATTTCTAGCAAGCCTGCGACTATAGCAATCACATAGTCTAGAACAGTAGGGTGTATTAGAACTTTCAGTGAGAAGGGAAACATTTTACATCTATGATATCTAATAGAGAGGCCACTAGGTAGGTGTAACTATTGAGGGTTTTTTTTTTTCAGTACAGGGATCAAACTCAGGACCTTGCACTTGTCAGGCAGGTGCTTATGCCACCAAGCTATATCCCCAGCCCCAGGTGTGACTATTGAACACTTCAAATGTCACTAATGCAACCATGGAACTAAAACTGTAATGGTATTTCAGTTTAATTCATTTAAATATAGATGTTATAATTGCAAAACACTCTATTCTATTGTCCCTGCACAGCAAGTGAGATGTTCCAAAAATTGGACTAGTTCACCTATAATATGCCTCTCATGCTTAGAAAAAGCACAAAATTCCTGTTGGGCCAATCAGCATTATTTCTGTTTTCTTCAGAAGGCATGTCTGCTGCACTTACGAGCTGTCTTAGAAAGTGGCCCACGTGAAGAACTGAGCTTTAGTTCTAAGCAACGCTGATATTTACAATTCCATTCTGTGCATGTCGCCCTGTTGTGACATCGGTGGAAGACAGGGAGAGTAAGTGGGTCAGCTGAAAGCACTGGGACTAACTAGGGCAGCGATCAGCACCATGCAGGGCGTGTGTGGGGAAGAGTACAAGCTGCCTGCGTGGCTGGAACAACTTCCACTGCTTCGGGCCTGTTGTGCACTCAGCCCAGAAGCCAAAAATTGCAGCGCACTGCTTTCTGTGCCTCTCTGCCACACCGTCTGATTTTTAAACTTCTATCTGACCTCTTCAGTCTTGCGTTATTTTGACAATAATGGCAGACTCTCCCCCCACAAACTAAAATCTGTCCTAATATCTAGTACAATGGCAATAAAAGCAAAACTGAGTCAAGTCCTGTAATAAGCATCAATATACATATGTTTTGAAGGTCACAAGTACCATGAATTGTTTTTCTTTGTTAACATACAAAGGAAGAGAATCCTGGAATAACAGTACTGCACTCCTGAAATCCTTGTAGGATTTTTTTATACAATGCTTACAACATGACAGCACTCATAAATGTTTTTAGATGAATGAATAAATGAATGACTCTGGAGGAAACATTAACCAACACACCCATCCCTTCTGTTAATAAATACAATAACACATTTCCCTAAGTAAGAATTTGAGCCTTAAACAAAACTGTCATTTGGTGAAAATATTGCCTGTGACTTCTCTTGGCGTAAAACTAAGATGCGTGAAATTCACACCTATGAAAAACTTAACACATCTATTATGGGCAATCATTCATGACTACACAGAAAAGCAATTTGAATAAACAAGTAATTAAAATTGCCAATACAAAGATGTTAAGTGACCCTCTGAAACAGCTTCTTATTCTTCCCTCTGATTTCTCACATTAGCTGAGTTCCTTGAGAGTAATGTGACTACAGCTTCCATTACATTCCCATTCAGTGACATCAGCATAGAAATACACAAGAAAGCTCATATTCACCATCGAAGGCTGCAAACATATCCCGGTGCCCAAGCTGTGCCTTTACTAATTTTCTTCCTTCCTTATCTACTGTAGGGCTGGGATGAGACGCAGAGCCTTGTGCATGCTGAACAAGTGCTCTACCCTCACCTGCTATCTCCAGACTTCCACTTGCCAGGCGATGATCACTTTATTCATTTATTTATTTTTAATGTATTTGGTACAGGGTCTCGCTACACAGCTTGGACTCCTAGTGATCCTCCAGTGTTCCGCTTGCCCAGCGCTGGGATTCCAGGGACTGGTCTCAGCTGCCAGCTCAGCACACCTGGGGGTGGGGCCATCTCACCATGTGGTGTCAGGGATCGAATCCCTGGCCCTGAGCTTGTCTACGCAGGCGCTTCGTCCGCTGAGCTATCTCA